TCAATGGAAACCCCTGGAAAAGCCACCAATCTCCGGTATTCCTGCAGCCACTAAAGGCTGGTAAGCACTTACCTGTGTTTTCATTGCAATATTTAGGGTTGGGGACGCGATCGTGGAGTCCCCCGCCCCCTCCTAGGTCCACTCACCTGCAGTGTCAGACTGCACTGATAGCTATTCAGAGCACCTCTGCCCTGGGTGTTCTTTGCCGCAGGAGGAAAACATTATTAATGAACATTCAGAATGTCACTTCACCTAGCTCCAGACGAGCTTTTCAAGCTCGCTAGTGCTCCACCAGCCTTGGGAAAGAGCCAGGTGTGCGGCAGCCTTTCAAGCTGATCTTAAAAGTTATAGTCGATAAAACCTGCGGCTTTCCCACGCGAGGCCTGCTGGGTTCACCTTGAGACAATCAGGGAGACGTTGACTGAATGTGTTTCTTTTCCTTACCGGAATCCAGTTGGTAACTCTTAAAATGCGGATCAGAACAGATGGAAATGCCTTTCTCCATCTGGGCTTCTTTGCTTCTCTTCCTTTTCAGAGATCGACTGGATCTCTGGATCTCAAAAGGAAAATGATATTTCTGAGGATCGACCGCCTGTCAGGCACTGGGCATACATGTATCATTTGGTTTTACCAACAAGTCTATGAGGGAGATCTCATTATCTACATTTCAGAAAAGGAAACTTACACTTTGCTTAAGTTTTTTTTTTTTTTTTTTAAGTTCTCTTGTCTAGAAAGTGGCAGATACAGGATTCAATGTAGGTCCTTGTGGTTCCAAAGTTAACGTCACCTCTTATACCAGTGGTTCTCACAGCGTGGGTCCCTGGACCCTTCAGTGTCAACTTGCAGCTGGTTAGAAAAGTACGTTTTTAAGCTCCATCCCAGACAGTCTGCAGCGGGGCCAGTAATCTGTACTTGAACAAGACTTCCGGGTCACTGTGATGCACACGAAAGCAAAGTTCACTTTGTGCCCCTTCAACTGGGCAACCGAATCTCGAAAGGAGAGAATTCACACTTTTTTATTCTTCCCAATAGATAATTTTTCACGCGTTGTCTCCTGCCTCAGCTCTGCCAGGTTAGTTTGCTACATGCTAATACACATACACATACACATACATATGCTAAAGATATTAATTTACTTAAAATGGGAAATTATTTAGCATTTACTTATAAATCCAGTCAATAAGAATAAGCTATAAGAATCTAGATTTACGCAAATAAACAGTTGCAAATGCTCATAGGTTCTCTTTTTTTTTTTTTTCTTTAATTCCCTAGCAAATCGTCTAACATGGGGAATGTTCCATGTGCATTTGAAAAGAATGTGTATTCCGCTGCTGTTGAGTGGCGTGTTCCATAGATGTCTGATTCTTCGTTCTTTTATAAAGCAACACCTGGAGCACAGAGGCCAGTGTCTGTGAGAACTCTGGAGTCCAGGTATGCAAGCTCTTCAGTCTGGCAGGGGCAGGAGGGTGGTTTTTAGATGTTGGTGCAGCAAAAGGCCTGAGTGTAATTCTCCTTCTGGCTCTTCCTTAGTAAAATGTGGCCTCCTGCAAATTGCTCAATTTCTCAAAGCCACCGTGGCCCCATCTTTGGAAGTGGGGTGATAAACACAGCCATGGTATCGAAGAGGCTATGTATAAAATGCCTGTGCGGACACTAAGGGGTTGTTTGACTTCTGCTTTTATTCCTGAAGTTCTCTCGTACTTTTTGCTGTCCCGAGGTAGGCATTGCATCGAGGGGAACTTGACTCACACAGATCCTGCTACTAAGGAAAGGATTCTCTCCAATTCTTTAGTTGCCATCACTGTTTTTGCATATTACATTAAACAAGCCAAACAATGTCACGTGTAGCCATCATGACAACATACCATATTCTCTAAGATTTTCACACATCTCTAGCTAATTACTGTTCTCATTTGCGCATCATTTTAATTTCTAATTTTACCTCAAGTATCACGTACATATTTTCTGTCCCCCTCTTCCGACAATTTCACTTAAAATGCACTCTCACTCTTCGGTTGCTGCCTGTTTGAGATGTTTATGTTGACATCTCTCCAACTGAGTCTTAAATTAGTTGCTACCTGAGTTTAGGGATGTCATAATCCTTTCCAGCATGTCATTGCCTCTTTGCTTTTTAATCATCAGCAGTGCGCTCAACTTTCTGGCTGGGCCTGAGTGCCAGTAGTATTTCTAATGTTGCTTAGCCAGGTCCCAAGCTGTGGAGGGTGTGACGCCCAGGTGGGGAAGTGGAGTCAAAACCCAAGCACAGAAGCTCAATGTTCCAAGCCCCAGAGGCCAGTGCAGAGAAGCAGCCACAGGGCTGCCTGGTGTGAAGTCCTGTGGTCCCCTACTCTACTTTAATCCCGTTTGCTTATCTCTGCTCTAAGCAGCACACACTAGAATTCTGATAGAGACCAAGGCTTTCACGATCACTTAAAAAATCAGAGGGTGGGGGGAGGCCTGCAGTAGCCTAACACTTGGTGTCACGTACAGCCCAATTGCACGAAAAGTGCAAGAGTGCTCTGCAGGGGCTTCCAAGAACAGGTCAGGAACCACAGATTAGGTAAGAGAGATAAGACCCAGGGACCACCGATCTCTCTGCAAATGCCAAACAAGAAATGTTTGACACTAGATGGCAGCAGTGCCCCGTGTTTTCCTTCCAAATTAAACCAGCCATGAGATCTTTTGGGAGGGGGGAGGGAATCGCAGAATTAACGCACAAATACAACCGTATCACAAAATCAGCCTATTTTATTTGACAGCAGTTTCCCACCCTCCTCATATTTATGATCAAGAAACAATTTGGTCTGAATCATTGTAACTCTCTAATATACGATCTGGCCATAGAAAATGCCCCGTATAAATAACACCAAAAGTTGAGTGGTTACTGGATACGGGGACCACTAATTATCAATGATTTGGATCAAATAGATTATTTGCACTCTGGAGAAAGGAGGGGGCATGGAAGGTTTTTCAGCAGAACACAAGGAAGGGAAAGTCCAACCCAGAACATGGAGCCTGGAGCCTCTCACCGTGTGTGTGAAGGAGTTCAGTTTCTCTGGTGACATTCAATGTTCCTGAATGGGACCCTAACAGGGTAAAAATCACCCATGAGTCCTGGCCCAGCAGGGTTAGATTCTGGAATGTTTTCTAATGGCAGAGATCCTTCTTGGTGACACGAGTCATTAGGAATGGCAGTGCAAACACAAGACACCATTTCTCAAGGAGAAGTCAGCTCTTTAGCTCCTGAAAGAGATCAATTTTTCCTGATGAGGAGCTCGAAATGAACTATTGGAGCACTTAATGGGTCTTGAAAAGCATTTCTGTTCACTTGCTGAGCTACAGATACACTCTAGGGTCTTATCTGAAATCACAGAGGGGGCGACCCTCTCCTCCACAGGCTTAGTTCAGCCTAAAGAACAGAAATCAGCGGCTCCACTGGGAATTTCCTGGTGATTAAGCCTCTGAGCCTTCATAGTCCCCCTCTAGGGACAGCCAAGGCCAGCTAGAACTCTGCACCGTGGAAAAGCCAATCATATCTAGGACTGCAACTCTCAGAGAAGCAAATTCAGCTCTCGTATTTGGAAGCTCTTATCTCTATGAGAGAGGAGAGTTTTGGTAGTGGCTCCAGTTGCTCTCCGTAGGTTCCTAGGGGACCAAAAAAAGTCGTGGTTTGGTGCTTACATTCCGAGATTGTAGTCTTTCGTTTTGTGGATGCACCATAACAGTCTTAGATACCCCAGAGATCATGAGGGTGGGTGAGTGGCGGAATCTAAGAAAATTAAAGGAGGGATATAAAACATTATGAAGCTATCAATCTATTTAATCCTCCAGACAGACTGAGATGAAATGGAAATGCAGGTATGATGAAGCAGTGAGCAATTGCCAAAAATGGGCTCTCCATTCCACCACAGTGGTTCACTGACACGTGCCATACGGTATTTAGTTGTTAGTGTACGATAATGTCTCCAGGAGTGGAGTATAATCTTCTTTTATTACATTGTGGGATTTCCACATCCTGGTCCCTGCAGGCCTTTAAAAAGACTAAACCTTTTTGGTCAAGAATGGGGAATTCTTTAAATGTTCCTTTGTGAAAACTAGCATTCATTTGTTTGGATTTTCTATTATCGTACCGCTTTTCCCTAAAATGTCTTGCTTTACACATTCCCCAGAAATTGAAGGAATACCTCCTCTATTTGGGGAGCTGGGTGAAATCCAGTTTATTGTAGCAACCACTGCTATTCTAGAGCTCTGTTCTCTCTCTGCTAGCGTCATCGCTTTGCAGAATCAGGGGGAACCTCTGTCTCTGCTCTCTTAAGGTCCCTTCCCAACCCATGGAATTTTATAGATAGTTTCACTGGAAGGTGTAACGTCAAGCCAGCTCTCATAATCAGACCATAATATTAATTCTAGAGACTCTTCCTTACTTTGAATTTCGTTTGAACCTGAAGTATATGCGTGGATAACCCTAACACAACCCGAAGTCAAGAAATTCAGAAATTTTTGTAACTCCGTGCAAATAGTCATCTGGTTAATTTCCAAAAAAAAGGGGTGTGTGTGTGTGTGTGTGTGTGTGTGTGTGTGTGTATTTTTTTTTCTCCCTGGGAATTAGAGGTTGTGCCCTTTCTCTTTCCACTTGCGTTTCTAAGTTATGCAGAGGCTTCTCTCAGGGCAGCAAAAAGCGAGATCACTAGACGGAGGCCGGCCTCTGCCCTTGCAGAAAGCCCCCAGTTTGCTCGAGTTGCGGGGTCGCATTGTTTCTGCGCTGTGTGCGGCACGGGCTTCCCCACCCCGGCGCCCAACAAGTCGTCTGCCTCCAGCCTGCGCGCCCAGGCGCTGGAGGCCCGGCGGGGCGCAGTCCGGTGCGGGCAGCCCGAGGGCCCGAGGCTGGGCTCTGTCTGGGATTGCGCCGTGCCCGGCCTCGGTCCCCTCTCTGTGGGTAGGGATGGTTGAGTCCAGCCGCCACGGCAGCGGCTCCTTGTGCCGCTAGCAGCCTGTCTTCTGCGCTCTCCGCCTTTTTCTCTCTAGACCGAATCTCTCCTCCCCCCGCGCCCCCTCCCGCATCTCCCACTCGCTGGCGCTCTCTCCAGCTGCCTCATCTCCAGGTCTCTCCTGGCTGCGCGCGCTCCTCTCCCCGCCTCGCCCCTCCCGCAGCCTCGCCGCCTTGGTGCCTTCCTGCCCGGCTCGGCCGGCGCTCGTCCCCGGCCCGGCCCCGCCAGCCGGGTCTCCGCGCTCGGAGCCGCTCAGCCCTGCAGTGGCTCGGGACCCGATGCTATGAGAGGGAAGCGAGCCGGGCGCCCAGACCTGCAGGAGGCGTCGGACGCGCGGCGGGTCTCGGCATCGGGCTCCCTCTCCGGCTCGCCTCGCCCTCTGGTGATTACTGGGCTCTGCTCATAGCCCTGCCGTGCCTCGGAGGAGACGGGCGCATCCGAGCAGAGCCATCGCGTCGTGTGCGTGTGGAGTATCTGCAGACATGACTGCGCGGAGGAGATTCGAGTCGCTGCTCCTGCTCCTGGTGCTGCTGGTTCTGTGCGCGGGGCTCCTCGCCGCAGCCACGGGTAAGGCAGGCTCGCTGCTCGCCGGGGGAGGCGGCGCGCCCGCGGAGGCCCCGTGTGCGAACCAAGTGTCTGTGTTGGGGACGGCAGGGGACGGAGGAGCTGGCATCCGCCGGGCCGTTGGTTCTCCGTCGCCGACGCTCGGGGAACGCGATGCCCGGGAGCGGAGCTTCCATCGCGCTCTTCCCAGCCCTGCTCTGCCCCGCCGCACCCCCGCCATTCCTGCCCCTCACTCGGGCTAAAAGGAGACGTCTCCCTTTCCTCGTGCTGGGGGCTGTCGGGAGAAAGGAACCGAAGGCGAGTTGGGCTGAAACCGCGCTGTGGCGGGGCGGCGTTGCCTCCTCCGAGACCTGGGCACGACGGGCCGGGGCTGCGGGGGGTGGTTCCCGCGACTTTCTCCCGGACCCGCCGGCCTTGCAAGTTCGGGCTCTCTGCGGGGCTTTGGCACCAACCCGCGCGCGAAGCTCCCTGCCGGCGGCCTCCCCGCACCCGTGCACCCATTCCCCCGCTCCTCCTTCCCCTCCAACGTCCTCGGCAGGCGATGAGTAGCTGCCCCTGCGAGGTCGCCCCCGCTCGCCTCTCCCCCGATTTCGCTCCTTCCAAGTTGTAAGGTGCTGGCGAGGTGCGTGGAACGGGCGGGGAGTTCTGGAGCGGCGCAGGGCTGGTCCCTGTCCACCCCCGGTCAGGGGAAGGAGTCCCTCTGGGTGGCTCCTGGGGCTGGGGGCTCTGTGATCCTAGTTTTCTCCTTGAAATGAGTTGGGGAATGTTTTCTCCTAAGGAGCCTACAGGCTGCAACCTCGAGGCAGCAAGAGCTCCTGCACTTGTCCATTCTCTGGGAAGGAAAACAAGCCCCCTTTTGAGAGGGGGAGAGAGAGAGGGAATATTGATTGATTTTCACATTGGAAAGTGCCTGCCCTCCTTTCCCCATTCTTAGCCTCCCTGGGCGCTTCCTCCATCAGTCAGCACTCCATCGCCAGACTCTCCTGGGAATATTAATATCTACATAGATTTTTTTCCTTTTCCTTTTTGAAGGATGGAGTCAATTCCTGTGATTTTTAATGGTCATTTGCTCTCTCCCTACATAAAAGTCCCCTTTCGTCTCTAGATTCTTCCATTTTCTTTTTCACCCATTTCTTGTCCCTCCAGTGGTCCAGATTCACGGGCGATTGACAAGGCGAAGGAGGACTGTGTCTGGTCCATTAGCAAACTCCGGATCGGCCTGGAGAGAGGAGGAGACCTTTGCAGGCTGGGCTTCTCCTCCCGGCCGCTCGTCCCCCCTGGCCGTCCAGGGTGGACAGGAGCTGACCTCTGGGCACCAGCCCCCTCCCAGGCATTCGCCCTCGCAAAGGGGTGTCTTCGGGAATGCGCCCGAGGGCCGGGGAAGCGCAAACAGTGGGTCTTACTCGCCCAAGCTCATGGTCACTGGGGATCCGGGAGCTTCCCGCAGATACCGACCCTTTCCTATCTGCCCCGCTCGGTCCAGACGCCCTGCCTGGGCCGTGGCGCTGGCACCGCCGGCCTAAGAAGCTGGCCGAGCAGGGCCAGGCTGGCAGCGGCCTCCAGCAGCCCTGAACTAGCTGGGAATTGAGAGGTGAAGCAGGAAAAGTCGAGGGCAAAGAGGACTGTGCCGTGGGACGTGTGCACGGGTGTGCGTAGCGCGGGGAGAGGCCAGGGCCAGCGGGCAGAACCCAGATTTGTTCAGCGAAGCCTCTGTGCGGAGAGGAAACACCTGCCACGCAACTCCGCAAAACTTCCCGCCCTTTCCCCTGTACTCAAAGCCCATCTGGGTCCGGGGCTGCCTCTGTTTCAGGCAGGCAACTCAGCTTCTGAGCGCACTCTCGGTTCCCCCGAGTTCCGCGCGCTCCGAGCTCCCTTCCCCCGCAATTAGCAGAGGTTGCTGCGTGGAGACGGCGGCAGCCCTGGCTCGGCTGCTTAATAATCCGCACACGTGTGTGCCGGGCGGATTCCGCCCCCACGCGGGTGGGCTGCTGCGCTAGGCGGAGGCGGGAGCGAGGGTGTGGAGGTGCAGGCTGTGGGCGGAGGCTGCTCTGGCTGATCCTGGGGCCAGCCGGGCAGGGGGCGCAAAGTCCTGGGCGCCCCTGGGCCCTGACGGGCAGCGCCATGGAGGAGAGCGCCTCTGGCGCGCTGCAGGCCACAGATCCAGGCTGTAGAAGCCAAGGAGTGGAGCCCAGTGTCCCAGGCCCCTCGCGTGCATGGTGCTGGAGTGGTGTGTGCGTGTGTCTGTGTGTGTGCGCATTCGTGTGTGTGCACGCGGGGAGGGGGACCGGGACGCTCGGACGCCAGGCTCGCTGCGCTATTGTCTGGCCCACGCGGCGGTGGGTGCGCGTTGCTTCTTAATTAACCCCAGCAGGCCCCGGGGTCGTGTCTCCTCCACGCCCCCGGGGTCAAGTGCATGCGCGTGTGGCCGCGTGGGAAGGGGCTGTAGGCAGGCAGGAGGCTGGTGACGCCAGCACCGGAGTCGCTATGTGCGCGCCCTGGCAACTGGGGCGGGGTCGCATTCCGTTCCCCTTGCGGAGCAAGCCCAGGTGGCCAACGTCTGGTCTCTGCCCAGGGGCGTCGGCTCTTGGGCTCGGCCCGCCAGCTCCCGGGGCGACTCGGGGGCGCCTGCGCGCAGCTGGGCTTTCCCAAGGAGGGGCGCTTGGGAGGGAGGGCGCCGGGCCATCGCCACCGGCAGCTGCGCCGCGCGCCCAGGTGGCGGCTCCCGCTGTGGCGAAGGCAGGCGCAGAGTTTTCGATGCGTGGGGCGTAATTCGTGACCTGTTTGCGGAGTCGTGAGGCTGTAGGCGGCCTCAGTTGAGGTCATTGGAACCCCTTTCCTTTCGTACCCGAGTATCAGCTTCAGCTGATGGTGCTATACTCTTCAGTGAAAGGTTGGGGATACCAGGAATTCGCTGTTGATTTCCTTTTCCTTCTTGATTATTAATCGTATTATAAAGGTTGTGTCCAAAGTGTGTGTCTTTATTTAAATGCACATTTTCACGGACCGCAGGAGAAAACATTTTCATCTAGTGAAAAGGTGGGGTAATTCGTTCCCTGAGCGATCGCTCAGATCTGATCCCTTAATGCGGGGCTGATCTGCTGTCTGTTAAGACAAAGTTTGCTCTTGGTTGTTTCTTGCATATGTACAGCGACCGGAATGCAGGTATTTGCAGACAATTAGTTACCCAGAGAGCGTCCCCAAAAGGAGCACATATGACACCAGGAGCCCAGACCAGTCTCATTTTAGGAAGCCTGCAAGAGAAAGGTGGAGTGTTCATCAAACTCAGCAATCCTAACGTTCGCCAACCCACCCAGCGTAGATTTAAGCACAACTTGCTGAATTTCCACAGAAAGCATGCAACTCAATTGCAAGAGAGAGAGGCGCTCCCATATCTGCATGCTTCTGGTTGAGTTCCCTTTTTAAAAATTCATATCACCAAGAAGGATGCTAAGACCTTTAATTTGCTGATCAAATTCCTTTAGGGCTGGGCGGCATCCCGTGTATTATACTTTCTTCTAATGAAGACAGGAAACTCCTGTGATTAAGAAGCTTTCACAGAAAACCCCTAATCCATCATGCCCTACAAAGGTGAACCACTTAAAATGAAGTTAATATCTCTTTATTTCGTGATTTGCTTAGCAGATCATGTCTTTTTCATTGCATTGTCAAAGGTATTATTATTATTATTATTATTATTATTATTATTATTGCAATTCAGAACTGTTTAGCTTAAAGCTTTCCAGTGCTTCTAAGGCACCCATGTAATTAGTACGTTTGGGATTTTTTAAGTCCTTGAAAAGGTAAGCACAGCTGAGTCTTTCTTTGGAAGTGACAGATTTTGCAAACGTCAATTGTAGGGCAATGAGGTCTCATCAAACAAGTCCAGAGAAGCAAACAGCAGGTGGTAGAGGAGGAGTGCAATTCCCTGGGGCTGAAGCATCTTGCTGGCAGGGGCCTCCCGAGGATAGGGAAAGGCTGTGTCTGCACTGGCTTTCTGCTGGCAGGTCAAGCTGGATAGGACCGCCACAGCCATGGTGCTTCCAGGGTCCCACAGGCAAAAACAGCTCCTCCTGGGGGCAATGCTTCCTTAGTCTCCAGTTTATTGTCTCAAACACACACCAACACAGCTTTGAAAATGTCAAGAAAACGGTTCTGCTTCCTTTAAGAAATAGATAAACAAGAGCTCTGTGGCTGGTTAGTGTTTACTGCAGAGGACAGACAGCAAATCCAGAGTAGACATTTCTAAGCTGTCAAAATGCAAATGGCATATTAAATGCTCTATATTCCACTTAATTCTAAATGTGCCTCTGGTAGTTTTTCTGCTGAGCTCATAGTGAATATAAGCTATTACAACTCTCATACATGCAATTTAAGCTACACTTTCCCTTTGGCCTTTTTTATTTCTTCTGATTATGTTCATTTTCCTCTATAAGATAATTAAGGAGTCGCATGGGTAGTCCTTGCACACAGTAGATGTCAAAGATATGTCTTCTTATATTTTAACTTTATTTGATTAACTAATAAATCGGAAGAAGATATCTGAGTAAAGGTATAGATATTCTACTCTCTGTATTTGCATCTTTGGTTGCATGGGGATATTAAAAGCCTTCTGGCACCTATGCTGGGAGACTAGGAGCTTAGACTGCAAGACCAGGAGTGGTAATGATTAAGTCAAACCAGTCTGACTCTGTGGTCTGGCCACCATAGCAACTAGAGGCAGATATTTTTTTACAATCAGTAGGACTGGCCTGGATATGCAACCTGAGGCAAAGAAATAGATGTCTTGGCTGTGCTAAAATGAATTAATCCTAAAGGAACTCAGCCTTCTTACTTTGCCTTCAATTGCATAGCCGCTGTGCTTAGCTTATTGGTTGTCCATTCCAGAACAAACTATCAGTATAAAAATCGAATAATCGCATTTAGGTATGTATGCCTAAATACAAAGAAATAAGTTTTTTCCACAATGACTTTAAAATGGCCTTAAATGATCTTTGATTAATTTT